CATATGAATGATTCAGAATAAATAACATGACTGGTGCCATATTTTAAGGGGTAAGCAGTTGTGAGCCCAAGGCACTGAAGAGAGAACCTATCCATACCCATTTGTCTGAATTATTATATGACCACCACAATGTGCATACTTCCCCCCGCCCCTTTTTATTAATCCTCACCGTAGGATATTTTTCCACTGATTTTTAAAGAGAGGGAAAGACAGAGAGAAACATTGATGTGAAAGAAACACATCAATTGGTTGTCTCCCACATGAGCCCCGACCAAGGCCTGGGCTGGGGAGGAGCCTGCAACCAAGGTACGTGCCCTTGACCTGAATCAAACCCCAGGACCCTTTGGTCTGCAGGCCGACGCTCTACCCGCTGAGCCAAACTGCTTAGGGCCCAAGTCTTTAGCTTCTTAAGTGGGTCTTTATGGTGGGTATGTTGGCAAGAGAAGCCCCTACCTATGAATTCAGCCAAATCTTCAGAATTGTCTCAGGAGTCACCTCCATGCTCCTCACAGACCACCAACACAGCTCCCAGCATCCACTGGTGTCAGGGTTGGTATGTATGCACATGAGCATGTGGTTCATTCCAGATAGGCTATTCCAGAATCCCCTTAGGCTGCACCTCCTGCCACCAGCTTTTCTCAGCTGTCTTACAATCCCGGCTTACTCACTCCTGGAGGCCTGCGGTCTGCCTGTCTTGATTCCCTATCTGATTCCACTGTACATATGCAGACTTATACCCCTCCCTGACTCAGCACCCATGAGCATGGTCTCATCAGGGTCTCTTTTGCTCCCTTAGATCTGATCTTTACTCTCTCACAGCCCAAGCTGACCTGCTCAATTTCCCCATTCTCCCTTTTTTCAGCTCCTAGAACTGGTCCCACTTTTTATCAGGCCCCATAGAGACTGAGTTGCACTGGCAGAAACACCAGACATATGGATCTGAATGGCACGTGGGTCCTCCCAGCTCTGCTCCCCAGAGTCCTTCCTTGACATAAACCTACTGCTGGTGTCGTTTAGGACAAGAGCTTCTATGTAGTACCCACAGATGTCACCACCATGGTACCCTCATGGTGACATCCTGCAGTGACCCAGGCCCAGCAGTGACCTCCTGTTGTCCTCTGGGTCAGAATCAAGAGTCTCTTCCTCTGCATCAGGGTCCCCAGATCAAGTATCTTAAAAGGTCACACTTCCCTTTCTCATTCTTCACCTTACCCTGCCTCATACCCACTCTCTGGCTCACCCACTCTCCACCTAGTGTGATTATCTCTATTAAATCTCGAATTCCTACTACTGGGCCAGACACCCTCAAAAATAAACATTACTTTGCCTTCTCCAGTCAAGCCCTTGAAATTCTACCTCCTCCAAGAAGGCTTTTTTTCCGACTAATTGGAAGGGGCCTAAAGCTCTTTCCGACATCAGTCTTTTTAACCTCTTCTCCTGAGCAGCAGCTGCTACATAACAACTTGGTTAAGGGCTGGGCTCTGAGTCCACAGTCCAAGATGTGCAGGATGGATATGGGTGACATTTTTTTTAAAAAAGCAGACAAAATAATCAAAACTAATCCTTAAAGAGCGACAGCATTTCTGTTATTAAAAAGTTAGAGATATCAAGGGAGGAGAGAGGGAGATTATGCCTCTATACAGGGTGGAGGCCTAGAGGACTAAGCGTAGTGAAACCAGAAAGACTTGATGAGAAGGTGGGCTTTACAGAAGGACAATGACGTCCCTGCCACAACTATAAGTGTACTTTTCTGGTTGGGTTACATTTCAGGTCTATATTCTGTAACTGATGCATTTATCTTTATGTGGGTTCTGGTCTGTCCATTTCCCATGGACATACACCAAACATGTCAAACTTGCAGCCCACAAGGAATATATTTGCTGCCCAGCCAATATAACAGTATGTAAGAAACATTTTAATAAAAATTTTGTAACTTAATTTTTCAATATCCTGCTAGATATAATTATTAATAATGAACTACAACATTCGCTAATGGCTGATTACTATAATTGTGTTGCATTTATTTCCCTTACGCGCCTTATGCACAGGCGCACCATTTCTTTCCACTAATACTAGCAGCGAATATTTTAGCAGCCTACTGCCATGTCATTAGTTTTGTACTGACTTGTTTGGTGTGCACTACAGGAAATATTTTGCTTTCAGAGAACAAGAAAAATAGGTTTATTTGCGTTATGCTTATTAATTTGTGGTTATTCAGTGGCCGGTAAGTTAATGTTCAAGAAAAAATATTATTAAAATGTTCTATTATTTTATGTTAACAATTACTCACTTAT